TTTAAGAAAATTTAAGTTTTGTTTTAGCAAAATTTTGGTACAAGTGATCGTCGGGAAGAGTTAGTAAATCGGGTCCTTTGATATACAAAATCTAAATTAATCACATATATAAGAATGTTGATAGCTCTAGTAGGTTTTAGCTATAAATAAATAATTTGTATACTTAAAGTTCTAGTTTTAATACTAATATATAATATGTATATATTTATAACACTATTATATATTAATTCACTTAAGTATTAATAAAAGTTTGAGATGAGTGCTATACCCAAAGTATTTCTCTAAATATTAAAAAAAAAAAATAAAAAAAAATAATTTAAAAAAAAATTAATAATTATAATAAATTATTTTTAGATTTGTCATAATCCAGTTTAGAACATTAGTATTACTCTCCCAAACAAGATCCCAGATCGCCTGGGTTGTTGGTGTTATCTAAGTGCCTTGAGGATTTACACGTGCAATCTATTTGTTCTAAACCTTCTATGATGCCACTTGCCAAACATAATACCAACTTTCTATAATTTTGATCTTCACAGATTAACATGCGCAACCTATTGTCCAGACCTTCTATAATATTGCTTGCCAAACATAATGCCAACTCTCTATAGTTAGATCTCCTTCCGGGAATTTTCTATTAAATCTGTACTATACTTGAACTTTCACAAGGCTCTGTGTTTGATTTTGGCTCCTCACCTGTAGGTTATAGAGTTTTTTTCACCTCCAGCCTGACTCAAACCGTGAACCTTGACTTAATTTCCATGGGGTTTGGCAACTTAACAATTAAGCTATAGGGCCCAAACCCCTGGCTTTGAGACTTTAAATGCATATTTTTTTAAAAGTGGAAGTTGCAATAAATACCACTTAGCTATTCGTCCAAAAGAAACTGAAACTGAGTTATCATCATTATAAATAATTTGGTTTTCAAACATTTTTATGAAAAAAAGATCAATTTTTTAAAGGTAAAGTTTTATTATTCGCTTTGATTTTTGTCTGCTTTTTGCTTATGTTATTTGCAATATTAAATCGATCAAATTACTAAAATTGCTATTGCTATTTATTTGTTTTAAATATAAATGTAATACAAGTGTTTTATTGTTTCATATACTAATTATTTTTTTACTGATTAATTTACTTATACGGACGTATATACGTACCAGGTACGTACATATGATATCATGTACCACATATATCACGTGAAACACGTGAGCATGCATCAAAAAAGCATAGGGATTTTAGGGTACATCCGGATGTATCAAAAAAGTAGGCGTAGGAGTATCAAAAATGAATGTTTTGCATCCGGGGTAGTTCCTGATGCCATAATCACATGATTTATTTGTTTAATTTAATTGGTTAAAAATTTTTTTTCTAAACTGCATCATTATTATATTTATATTATAATTAATGGCATGCTTATGCCAAGAACCCTAATAGCATACCTAGTGCAAGATACATTCCTAATGGATTTGATAAATTGGTGATATTAAATCCGGTGGAATAAAAAAATTTTAGTTGCATATTGTTCTTAACAGGATCTAAAAAAAAAAAATTCCAATTTCTCTTCATATAGTAATATGTAATTTAGAGGCTCTGTTCTTAAAACCCTATCAGAAATGTAGATCGTTTTTTTTTCCTACACCAAGAACAGTATTGATAACAGGAATAGTATTAAAAAATTTTTTTAAATTTTGATAATCAGAATATTATTATTATTTTTTTTTTTAGTGTTTAATTTTGAACGCTAAAGTCGAAAGTTTAAAATTAGCGAGTGGATTGTAAACGTTCTAATTTCCGATAAGCAAAGACTTAGTCTATATTTAACCCATAATGTTCTCCTAAATAATCAATAATTGCTGGTATACTTGTCAACGTATTAAACGTTTTTCGCTCAGCATTGCTCATAAAGTCTTCAAACATATACATCCTTTTTTTTTAATAAAAAAAAAAAAATGAAAAAAAAATGAAAAATGAAATAGTAATCAAAATCAGAGTAATTCTTAACTTAGAATAAACTTACAAATGATGATGGAAAATATAATGTGTGGTTCCCAACCCCAGACTTAATTTAATAAATTTATCCACACATTCCCAAGGTGTGCTTTCGCACCCTGTAAATAATGCTGGATTTTTAAGTATACCTCGAGCTACCATCACACCATCAACCTTAGTATTCTCATATAACAGATTTGCGTCTTTCAAGGAAAAGACGTTACCGTTTGCTATTACAGGAATTTGTAAAGATTCTTTACAGAGTTTTATGGTGTCTAGGTCTACGGGAGAAGTAGATTTTTGACGACGTGTACGACCATGGATCGCAATAAAATCTACACCTACTGATTCAGCATTTTTTGTAAAACTTAAAGTTTTTCTTTTTGTATTCAGAAATCCGAAAGGAAGGGGAATGGAAATGTAAGTTTAAAAACGGATAATAAAAAGATTAAAATACTCATCTATTTAACAAGATTTTTTTTCTTCTAAGCCAATTATCCGAATCGTAAAACTTGCCTCATATCATTATGAATCCTGATTTTAATAGAAAACGGTAATTTCACACCACTACCCTTAACCGTTCGAATCATATCCTTTACTAGCTCTGGTTTATCTATTAAGTGTGCACCTATACCTTCATTTAAGGCCCATTTTTGCGGACATCCACAATTCAGATCTACATAAAAAAAAAAATAAATATAATTTTTATGATTTAATCTAAGAATGTGACCGAATGTTGCGGAAAAAATTTACCAATTCCATCGACGTATCCGATCACAAGTTCTGCAGCTTTAGCAAGTTCCACTGGACTGTTGCTTGCGAATTGTATAATTAATGGATTATCCGTAGGAGAAGTACTAAAATCGAAATCCCGAGCAAAACTCGAGTTTTTAAATTCTTTTGCTAAAATCATTGGGGTATAAGCTAAATCTACATTATAACTGAAAAAAATATGAATTTTTATGAAATCGGTATATGAAATTGATTTATATCGCGAAATCCGGTTTTAAAGCTTACCCACGAACCAATTCTCGAAACGGCAGTTTACTATATCTAACCATTGGCGCGCATACATTTATATAAGGTTTTGTGGAATCATTGAATAAGTCTAATGGAGACTTTCTACAAGAATTATTCGACATTACTGTTCGTTTATGACGAGTATATCGATGTACGGTAAAAATGTGGATAATTTTCTCGCGGCTGATTGGTCTATCACGTGCATGATCTACCAACTACCCAGTATGAGAAAACTTAACCTGAACCGGGGGGTTTATGATTAATCCGTGGACCCCCCTTTATTTATATATATGTTGTACCCAGATGCAAATTGGCCCAATTGCAGAATTGACAATTGATATTTATATGTGAAATATAAATATGTAATTCGAATTGGATATGTATTAGTTAATATATATGATATTATAAAGATATAAAATACAGTATAGTGTAATGGGAATAATGAAGTATGTAGTAATTGCATATGTATAATATGATAGTTTTTTGAAATTGTAAAAAAAGAAATAGGAGGGTATTATTATAGAGGTCTGATTCCTCTAGCATGTATGAAATATAGTTTTTTATATTCTCTTAATGTGGCTTTTGGGCTTTTTAAACATCTAGGGTTAAAGTTTAATAGTGTGTTCTATAAAGTGGCATGATTTATTGTGACATATACTGTATTTGATCTTTAGCAAATATTGTTTTATCTATGCTGATTATAACATGAGGTAATATTAGCTCTTGGATTTTATATGTAATTAAAGCAAAGATGTTCTAAAAAGGAAATTGTTTTTTTGAGACTCTTTTTTTATCAATATAGAAATAAAAAGTTTCTTTTTGTACTATAACCTTGGCAATATTAGTGAAAGTTAGAAAAGTTATTTCAACGTTGTTATCATCAATAAAGTTTGTTATAATTCCAATGGATTTATTACATATATCATCACTAAATAATCTATTGTTTAGAAATATAATTCTTGAAGATATATAGAGGTTGGTAGGTTTGTAGAATATTTGAATTGAGTATAATAATAATTGTAGTCAAAGTTAATAGTAATTTCGAATAAAAAGATAAAAGGTTTAGAGGATTCTTAATTAAAAAAAAGGTAAGTTAGTTTATGTTTTGTGCTTTGAGATGTGTATCTATAATATATATAGTATTATAAAATTGTATAGAATTGTTGTCTTTGTTAATATTTAATTAAATGATAAAGAGTGATCTGTTAGAAAATTTGCCTATATGAATTTCTTAGAAGATATTATAAAAGTCAAAGTTATCTTGTTGTCTTTGTAGAATGTTTAGAAAAAAAGAAAAGAAAAAAGACCAAGCAAAAGATTAAAATACATATTTTGGATTAACAGGTAGTAGTTGGGCTAGATCGTTACCAAGGTTGGTACATTACTGAAGACAAGATTATTATTATAAATTTTTGCAAAAATATTGCTAATGAATATAAAAAGATTACTATTAACTATTGATATTTCTTCTATCACTATGAATTCTACTTTTTTTAAAGCAGCTTTGTTATTATAATTTGAGTAGATTAGAGTTTTACAGTATAGTAACTATCACTGAATCTGATTTTCAATACAAAATATAATGTTTTTTTATTTATATTGTAAGCGGCTATGCTAGTGGATGCTATGAGAGATAATTAAAGTTTTTTAACTACAAATAAAAAAGAATTTGGAATAATAAAAAACTTTTTTCTACTTTAGCAAGTCTGGTAATAAAGAAATAAATATATTTGCTAGTAGAAGAAATTTATCATATATTGTTTTTTTTTTTTTTTTTTTTTTTTGGGCAATCCTGTTTTTATTAATCAAAGAATACATATAATACTATACAAAGGTTTTAAACTATTGCTCTCAACTCTCCTTTTTCTACAATAAAAACTTACTTGGCTGCCTTAAAGGTGCCCAAATGCGATCTGCCGCAACAACATGTTCTCTCCCTCACAGAGTTCTAACTTCCTAGAACTGATTCTGCAAGATCAACAAAAGCCTGTTATTAGCTTGTCAAGATTGCCAAATTTCTCCCTTCTTAAAACTTTTCCCACCT